GTGAAAGAGTTAAGATCATTCTAATTCCCTCCTGTCTTACGATAAAATTTACAGGACTGAACATAAGTTGAATCCAGAACACTAAAATGTTTGTTGGCACTGAAACAACTCTCTGTCTCGACTTGCAAATGAAAGGTAAAGATATTATTTAAAAGAAAAATCAACTCCAGAAACCCAAAACACAAGGACCTAAACCAATGGTACTGCTCACTGGTTTCCAACATCAATAGTCAAGAGCAATTGAGACCTGACTGAAATAAACAAAAGAATTAAAACTCATAACCGGATACAATAAAATTTTACAAAAACCACATTTGTTGAGAACACAACTGTTACATATTCAGAACATACTGACATTTAATGGAAACTGAATAATCTCAAAGTTGGATTTTTCTCAATCAAATCCAGTTTTCCCTTCTTGATCTAGATTGAAACTGATCAAAAGAAGAAAAAAGTCATTATTCATCTTAATTGTTTACCACTCAAAAGCTCATGCTGTGAGCTCACTACTGTGTACCAACTTTTTCATGTAACACTGCAATGCATCTAACTTAGCTTGCACTTACAAAGGTGGTCTGCACAGAAACTGGCACACTTTACAGCAGCAGAGAAGTTAAGCATGAAGTTCACTTCTTCAAGCAACCATCTATTGAATCACCAGTCAAACAAAGAGGAAGAGATAAAAACTTCATCACTATGACAGAGGAAAGCAACAAAAGTAATAATACAGTGAGAAGATCCTACACAATACAGGAAGGCTGAATGAATAAGTGCTTTCCACCACCAGTTCTTCTGATTTCCTACGAATAACTATGTTATGATAATAGCTCTGTTTGTTAAACTAATAAAATATTTTGTTACTGAAAGCATTGCAACTGGTCACTAAGAGAAACAAGGAAACCTTAGGAATATTAAAAAAAAAAAGCCAGTATAATATCAGTTATGAGTGTTCAACTATCTTATAGGTTGCATTTAACCATATAAGTAGTTACAGATGGTTCAACCGAAAGGAATTACTATCCTCTCATTCTTCATCTGCCTAGACTAGAAGGAGCCACAGGCACACACAAAGCTTACAAAGACTGGCAATTCTCATGCACTAGAGCTGTTTCACATCTTCTGTTTTAGAAACTGAGTAACAGGATTAGAAAAGAAAGTTTCAAATCTATGATCAGTCAAAACAAGAAGTACCACACAAAACATGGAAAATGTTATTTTACTTGTTTTTTGTTAGATCTAAATGATGAATTGTAAACCACCATCCTTTTAAACATCTCTTGTGGCTGCAAAAGAAAGAAAATTGCCAAACCAGATATTAACTTCTTGCTGTAAATAAGTATCACCTACTCATAAATTATCTCACTACTTATTTTGCTCTTCTAGGGACTGAACCACACTTGCATTTCTTAGTGATTGTTCCCTGTATCATTTCAAAATGAGAGAACACAGACAGTGAAACAGTACTGCACACGAAGTGGAAAGAACTCTAGAGAAACTACATAAATAATGCACATTTCCATACCACAAGATTTCTTAAAAATATTTTCCATGACTCCTTTTACACCTCATTTCTACAAAACAGTGCTTTTTCACAGTTGTGAAAAAATAATTGGAAAAAAACCCCAACCCAAAATACAGAAAAACTGCTAGACAAGTAATTTCCAAAATATTGAAAAGCCATGATAAATACATGTTTATGCATTTAAGATTTGCTCTGCTACCATGGATTTCCTATACTGAAAAAGTGAATTCCATTATTAAATTCCTTATGAATCTGATAAGCTGAAAGAAGAGAGATGTGTATTTGGGCTCATCCTGAAAGAAAGAATTACCTAAATACCAATCGCTAGTACCGGTTTATTCTACTTAAGGAAAAACTCCTGCAGAATTTAATGGAATTATTTCTATTTTCTTGCTTCAATTAGAGTACCTATGAGTTGTTTCACTATATCAATTAATAACTGATGGATTTTATTTTATTGTGTTTGGCTTCAAGGATTTTAATCCCATATTCATTCTGGTTTTCTTTCAATTCCACTACTCTAACAAAATGGTACACTGCAGTTTGGAGTCACCTAAAGAATTTCTTATTAGGTTCTAAATATTTTCAAAAAGGAAGTGGGCTAAAACACCAAATAATTATACAAAACGCTCCTCACACCTCTCCAGCCTCCATTCGAAATCTTGCAACAAATTAGGTAACATATATAAGTGTTCTGAAACAAGAACAGCTTTCTACAGACTAAACTATGGCATTTATACTTCCAAACTCAATTCGTTTTAAAAAAAATTACTATATATCAGTTTCACTACTGATTCTATCACTGTCCTGTAGTCACACCATTACTTGGAAAAATATATTCCAGAGTTAATGAAAATTTTGTGGTTTGCATTTGATTAATACAAAGACTGAGTTTTTGTCTTGAAGGCTATGTAGGCAAGTTTGGAAAGATTTTCTCTTTAGACTACCTCTAAAAAAACAATAATTCATTTTCAACACAGATTGTTTTGGTATAGCTATAGGAAATAATAACTTTGGTTATAAAATCTTTGGTAGCAGCAGGTGCATCGAAGCCTTCTAACTCACACAACAGGATGTTTGTGAAAGATGGGAGAGCAGAGACTGATGTTCATGTTGGCTTTGCTTCTCTGAAAACCCCACCATTAAATCATAACAATTCTCTCCTATTCTCTGAGTCAAAATTTAATTAGCTCTGCCATGAGTGTATTCCAACTCACTTTAGTACAACAGAGACAAACAGCTCACACTGACTTTGACCCAGAGCAGCCCTCAGCATTCAAGGCCACGTGCAAGGTTTAATCACCTCTAATAGATTCCCTATTTATGAGAACAATTTCATTTTCATTAACTGTTAAAAGATCTGGGAATTCTGATCTAAATTTAGTTCATAAGATGACTTAAGTCACAACATCTGGACCCCCTGCCTTCCAAGTAACAGGAATATTTTACCCATTCTTGCATGTCTATTTTATTCTAAAGTGAATGCTTTTTCATCCTCTTTACTAGTAACTTTCTTGAGTGCAGGCCAACTTGATTAGCTGCTCGAATCAGGATGAGTTTCTAGAGTTTGGTACTCAGGACAGTTAAATTCAGGTAAAAACAAAGTAGAAGAAATTATATGCATTACATCTTAATATGACATAACAGCTGCAGTTCCATAAGTTGTGTGAAATCTAGCAAGACAAGAAACATGGTAGCAAATGATATTTTGTATTTGGTGATACTTTCCTTTGCTAAGAGAAGCTGAACTGGTCCTGTATCTGCACCATGAAGCTAAATAAGGACACCCCCCACACTCCCAACCAACCAAAATCCACTCCTCCTGCATGAAATCTAATTATAATTCTTATACATTTCTGGAGACAGGTAGGTACTGTCTTGTTTGATTTGTCATACACCAGTGTTTTCTTTTTTTAACTAATAGAAGTAGCTTCCCTCTTTGGTGTTTGTGCAAATTTTATTTCACAGACAACTGTGACTTCATTGCAGTGAGATACTCTTCACTGCAGTAAGTCACAAATGGAAATAAGAGGTATCAAATCTACAAAACCAATTTATAGACTGCTCTTTCAAAGTCCTATTAGAATATTACTCCCACTGAAATTTGGATCTTCCAACTGATATAAGGCAATTTGGGAATGAAGATGATTGGTATCTGAAAGATTTTAGCAGACTTGTGATTTGGAAAATGTGCACGCATGCATAACAAATCATAAGGCATTTCCCTGTAGAAGTGGATCTTATTGCCAGTTTCTTAAACTAATTGTAAGCAGTCATTAACAAAAGAATAATTTAAAAAAGTGCCCTTCAGAATTGGTACCACAACTGTTTGGTCACATATAAGGGTATTATCAATTCTGCAAACTAGTTCACATATGCACACTTTTTCAAGAGCTAGATTATATTAACTGCAGATTATGACTTGACTCTGTTCATTCCTCCCCTGAGGAATTTCATACTGCTTAGAAATGCTGAATTACTGAACACAAACAAAATGAGAGCTTCAACTGAAGGAAACATTTCACTGGAGGGATCTGAATTTATTTTTAGCTCATATACCTGCCTTCTCTTAAGCAACTTATAAAAACTGCTTTCATTTATCATTCAATCCATTTATAATATTGAAGTTTCAAGATGGCTATGGTTGTGGGAAAACAAGTTACTATATATCACTTAAACTTGTTCAAAGTGTAACTGGCAAAATAAGGGAACAAGAGTATCTAAATTATTAAAGCAATAAATGACAAAAAAATCCATTGTGCTTTAATGAAACACATCTAGGAATATTGTGCACATTATTTATTGTCAGAAATAGCAGAAGCTTCTAATTAAATAAATGAAATGCAAATGTGATGTTTTTCCATCACTTACTGTTTTGCTCATATAAACGTATTTATACAGGCATGTCCGCACACGTGCATGTAACAAACACACAATTCCTTATGCAAACAGCATAAGCCATGATGAATATCAAGAATAAATACTACTAATTGGTCCACCAGGTATTTTAGGTAAATTTTAAGGGCTGTCAGTTGGGAGTTATCACCTGTCAGAGTAGTATTTATCTTTTTTTTTGTTCAGTAAGCCTTGGCTCGCCCTCCCTCATATACTACAATTCCCAGAAGATGAAACATGGTTGGTTCTAAAATGTTTAACCTCTGAATTTTTTCTTCATTTACACTTGAAACAGAAAAGGAAATGAAAGAAGAAAAAGAATCTGATTGTGAGTCAACTTTGCAGTAACACTGCATGACCAGTATACCGGAGTCTGATATAACAACACACTTTTTTATCTGGAAAAGAAAAGACATATATGGATTATATATATATATGTATATTATGATAAATGATATAATTATTTCATTTTATTATTTCATTTCTGACAAATGGATTCAGAACTTACAAAAAAATAAAACCAAGCATGTGCATAAATGAAAAATAAGATGTAAAAATTCTAAGGCTATACACTGCTCTGGAATTATGCACCCTTGTATGAAATTGTCACTAAAAGTGGTTTTTAGATAATGGGAAAAATACAGAAAAATACTCTATTGTACTTACCATTACTGATCACTTGAAAATACGTGAATTTTAGTTACCAGGAAATGAGACAAGCATTGACTCTTTGAGGATGTGTCACAAACAACCCCCCAAAGTACTGGAGCACTCAGAAGAAAAATATCAAAGGGCTTACCAGGGCCTCTGATTTGATTGTTGGCCTGACCATAAAGTTTGGGTCAGGATGCAGCATAACTGGTTTAGAGACTATTGGTACCCCTGGATGACGTTGGGTAGGTGGACTTGGAGCAAGTTGCTATGGAGTTAATTTAAGAAAATTACAATTCACGACATAATTTGTGCAAATCCATCACTTTATCAAAACGCCTCAATTCAAACAGTTTATCATAATGAATTTAGCAACACTAATACAAGAATACACTAATACACTAATACACTAATACAAGAAAAAGATTACTGAATTATTTTAACTAAGGCTTACAAAGTCAACAAACCAAAATATAATTTCTCTTGCATCCAAACAGTAGCTTTCCCCCTAAATTCTGGCTTCACCAGCAAGATTATGGAAAAATCTCAGCCCTGCTTTTGGTATTTTTCCCATAAAGACAACAAACTGAGAAGCTACAGGAAAAAAAAAACCTGCCGAAGTTCAGTGCAAGAACACAGGGGACCCAAAATAAGATTTTAACTAATCCATGGCTAAATAGATTTTTTAAGACAAAAATCTCCAGGGCTGCAGCAAATGGCTTTCAATAAAGAATTTTAAGTTAACTTATCTTGATTTAATGGCAAGGGTTAGTTTACACTAATTACCTGCCCCTGACTCCAGGAAGTACAGATACCAGAGGCATCTGAGACCTGATCACTCCGCACGTACTACCCGATCCTACACTTCTCACTCAGCCAAGACTCCCACTGACGTCAAGCAGAGTTTTATTCAAGAAAAGAGTTCAAAACTGAGCTCTGTGGGTTCAGTTTCTGACTTAACCCCAGCAACTGTTAACACACTTTTCTCAATGTTTCTCATAGGAAATGTGATGTGTTCCAGATATCACTCATACAGTACAAGCTGTATCCTCTGAAAGTATTTACTTGCTTCCAGCAAATTGGGTAACTACTTTTTTTTTTTTTAATGAAGGAATTTTTTTTTTGGTGGTGTTTTTTTCCCCCTGTATTCTCTTTAAAAAAATTTTAAAAAAAGTTTGGAACCAGATATTTGAAAGTCCTCTGGATATCCCTTAACTAATGTTGTTAAGCACTGCAAAATATATCGTGTTGTTAAGCTTTCTGATCTTAGAAGAATCAAAATTGACAGGTTCACAGATACGAATTTGTTAAAGCTGCATTGGAACTGGATGATTTCTCCATGAGTCACATAATTTAGCAACAGATTTTTCTAGAGTGCAGAATGGGGAAACCTGACAGCTGGCCATCCTGATCCAAAAACAGTGCAAAGAGCTATCAAACAAATGTTGCTCCCTCTGAGATGAAACTTACTTCTTAGGACACATTATATTTAAAATATAGATTTGTCCTAGATCCTTTTGCCTTGACAGAGGAACAAAGTACATGCTCCATGATATACAGACATTTAGAACATGCAAACATGGACTGTATGTTGCTCAGCTGTTGAAACATGAAATCCTTGGACCATTAGGAGTCACTTGCACTACTTGGTATTGGATAGTTTCCAAGACAGCAATGGAACCACACACATAATTCCACGTGCTGAATTTTAAATAAATTAGCCATGCAGAGAGAAACCCTTGACACTTCCTTGACATTAGCATTACATGGAAAGTTCATAAAACCACAGTCATTATTAACAGTACGTGACATACCAGCGGATTGCTTGACACAGAAGATACTTTGCCGATGTGGGAGGTGTTTCTTACAACCTAAACAGTAACAGACTTAATATTGGGTTCATATAAAGTGTAAAGCTAAAAATAATTTTGAGAAACAGACCATTTATACCCGATATGTTAATAGTCAGTTGTCAAGAATCTATTTGACAGGATTTTATTCCTTTTGTCAAGTACTTGTTTGAGCTGAATTGGAAATTAAATGATTTGGGGAAAAAACCAAAAATGTACCAACACGGAGATTGACCAGTTTGTATAATATTAGAAAAGTGACTTATGGGACAACTACAGTTGTCTGCTTTTTTGGCTTTAGCAGGCACAAACACAAGATCTTTAATCCATGAAGTCACACAAATGCACTGCTTCTGCTTATCTGTGATGTTAAAAAGTGGCTTTGTAAAATGTACCAAGGATAAATTGTCAGGCTTCTAATTTTTCTTCCATTTCTGAAGCAAAATCAGGAATACTGAGTTATCTACTTAAAAAAAAAGCAGCTTTGGGTCAGTATTAATATTTTACTAAGAGTCTAGATATTTCCTCATATACACTAATTATATTCAGGGAAAACTGACATTAATTTTGAAGGTGGGTTATTGGTTGTTACCTAATCTATTTTTCTTAATTATTAATTTCTTTTCTCTAACATATCTCACAGGGAAAAACTGCCAGAAGCACATATTGAAATATATTGGTTTGGGGTCAGATCCAGTGTGGCAGTTCTTACGTTGCTTCTTCTGTCTGAATATTTTCTATTAGCTTTAGAAGAGTGTATTTCTCCTCTCAGTGTATTATTTTGTACATCTGTTTCCTTTCACATAATTTTTATTTTGCAAATAACTTGGGAAACTTGTTATCCATAAGAACATTTGATATTTCTGTTTCAGTGGATCTAGCATCTTGGCACTTCAAACATATAAAACCACTCAGATTGAACACTATCAGAGGTCCATTTAAGCTTACAAGAGATTAATGATTTACATAAAAAATAATCTATTGGTTTCCTCCAAACAGTGATTAACTCACATATCCTTCCCCACCCCAACCAGATTCATGCAAATATTATTTAGTAAACATGCAAAAAAACCAAAACCAGTCAGTCAATCCATGCAAAAACTGTGTAGCAAAAAAGTGACTGCATGGGATCCTCTTCTGCTCTTTGAAATAAATAAGAATCTTTTGCCACAAAAACAAGTATATGAATCTCACTACAGAGCTTAGCAAAGAGAATCATGATGAGATCTGGCACAAGATTTCATGTATTTGATCCTCTTTTGAACTCAGATTGTAATAAAGAGAAAGTAACAGGATTTCTCAAAGAAATCCCTAACTCCTGTGCGTTCAGCAAGTCAAACCAGATTACCAACTCTTGCTTCTTTATTTTACTGGTAATTGATACAGTTTTGACCTTTTAGAAGTTTGACTTTCTGATTTTAAGCTAATTTTCCTTGTGCACTCTTCTCACCTAACAAAGCAATTTGATGACATATTTAAAACGTTTTCATAAGTAATTTTCACTGCATGGATATTTTTCTCAAATTTAACAATGAATTAAATCCACTGCCTGCCACTGTTTTGTTTTGTTTTTTTTTTTAAATCCTTAAACATTCAAGGCCAAATTGTCCTTTTTTAACCTACATATTCTGCCTAAGACATCTGCACATGATAGGGTTACAACGTATGGAGGAAGGAGAGCAAAGTCCTCTTGACTTAAATTTAAAAAGTGTTAAAATAAAGCTACCTCTGGACTGCATTCACTACTAAAAATCTATGAAACCATCTCATTCTCTCTTGCAGCATTGCATATGGCAGATGGGTAGATCTAGTGGACAAGGTGGGTGATGGATCAGGGGCAGGAGGCACGTAGGGGAATGGTAAGGGCGCATGCATCCAAACAGATCATGAGGTCACCTGGGAAGCTGGTGTTACGGACAGGGCTGGACCTCTGGAGAGTGGGACGTTTGAGGGAGGAAGTGGATGAGGTGGTGGTGCTGGAGTAACTGTGGGTGGTGGTGGTGGAGGTGGTGGCGCGCGTTGTTTAGGCTTGTCAACTTCATCTAAGTTTATATCATCGAGATCTGTGGTGTGAAGCTGCAGGCCACCGGCAAAACGCCGCATTGACGTGGCAGAAGGCGAAGCAGAAGGACGTCCACTTGCCAGCTATGTGCAACAGAAGAGAAATCTGCCTTAGCAGTTCTGCCTGCAACAGCTCTGAAGAAATTACTGACCAGTCCTAGAACACCACTCAGTCTGCTCCTGCACAGGAAGCTCTTGGCTTCTCCCACACAGAATATGCACAAATGTTTTCTCTGAAAGGCTTTTTAAAAGCACTCTTTGGGATTTTAGTTTGATCAGAAGAAAATGACAGTAGCCTTGGCTGCTTCAGTAGGGGGGACAACAAAAGAAACCCCACAAAACTCCAACAATATGAAGTCTTCAGAAGGTAAAATTACAGGACAAAATCACAGATAATGCAACTCTTCTCTCTCTAGCTCTCATGAAGTGAAAGCAAAAATTACTGCTTGCAATGGTTATTATCTGAAAAGAAAGTAATCAAACACAGGCCCTGAAATTCTATGTCATTAAAAAAGGGAAAGGGGTTAATGTCATGTAAACATAACCACACATTAATACAAGAAAGGAAACTATGCTTAAGCAGCTATCAAAACAAAATTTTAGTGTGCTATGAAATTCAGATCCTCAAGGGGGTTGAGATCTTATAATTTATAATATCTTATAAATATTTTATCTCTTATAATATACAGATAATTAATCCATACCAGATCTATTGTGGGGCTAACGAACTCCAGAGTTTGAACACAATGAGCAGCTCACCCCAAAAAATGAGGTTGTGTGTGTGGAGGAGGATTCTACGTATGTTGTTAGAGTTGCTAAGATTTCTTTTATCAGTTATCAAACTGAAGTATTTAAGAAAATTCAGTCAATACTTCTTCATTTTGCTACCGTGTAGTCTCAGCTAAGAAAATATTACATAGATGAACTGCCTGACAGACACATACTTCTTAGTCTAATACAACAACACTTCTCTCAAGTAGGTAATGCTGTTAACATTTTTTGGATCTCCTTATCTAACATAACCCCTGTTACTGAAAAATAGGTATTCCTTTAGCAGAGGTCAAGAGATCTTGACTGCTCTTGCACCAAAGAAGCAGTTCATGCCTGTAGTACCTAAATATTGTTCAGATGCATTTATCCCTTGGAAGCACTCAGGTTTTGTATTTTATGTGAGTTTAACTGCTTGGGTAGTTTTGAAGAAAAATTGTAATAGAGCATTTATATGTAATGTAATAGAAGAATTGATGGAGCAAATACAACACAGAATGCTTGTCTTAAATCTGGGTAGAGCTCTGAAAATACAACAGTGTTTGTAATCCGTAATGTTCCTTCTTACTTTACAAGGTAAGGGGGACAAAGTTCTAGCAGAACACATGCAGCCAAGTTTAGGTACTAAGAGAACACTCAGTATAATCATTCCAGTGTCCTAAAGGCCTGCACTGAAAAGCCACATGGATCTGAGCCTAAGGCCATGAAGAACAGAAGATCAGCTGCTTTTTTCAGAGTTGCTCCACATTGACCTGAAGGAAATTCATGTGAGAGTGTTCCCCAAGGGTCCCTTTTGTGGTTACGATTTCTTGGGGATCCCACAGGAGTTCAGCAGATTGCAGTGTTCCTGTTGAAACCAGATGTACTTGGAAAACAGCCAGAGCAGCAGGATGGTGGGAAAGCCTCTCTCCACATATAGAACTATCAAGCTCTAAGGCACAATCACTATCTGCAACTCCCCTAATTTAAGGGGACTATTTAAAGCACAAACCCAAACCCCAGTCTTTGGGAGTTTCTCATCTTTTTGTCATTTTCTTAACCTGCACCTTTATGTCACGTAATACAAGGAAGCATCCAACAGCTCATCATCAATGATGTTCTTATTTTCATAACATACTAATAAATATAGTTGGGTATTCTAGTCTCAGTTTTGTTATTGGTAGCATGTCCCACCTAGCCCAAACAGCTCACGAGCCAATAAAACTTAATTTTGTGGTGATATTATACTTAAAGACAAAATAAAACCAGTTCATTAAAATAATGTTTGAATCTTCATAAAATATAGAAACAGCAAGTGGTATAGATGATAGTTCATCAATTGCTGACTTTTTTCCCCCCCTCTTAGAATGAAGGCTGAGGGGGAAAGATAAAGACAGATTTTTTGCTGGTAAAAACCTGTTGCTTTTAGGATACAGCTAGTGAGTTATTTAGAGATCATGCAATATATGGAAAAGCTAGAATTTTACCTCAGGAGACTCATTCTCCACAGAGGAAATCTGTTCTAACCGTGTTTGACAAAGTCTTTCCACCCAGTGCTGCACCTTTTCCGATTCTTCCAGGTCCTCTCTTTCTGTCTCAGATACCTTAACCATAACAGTGGCGCGTGAGAAAAGGTTATAGGTATGGTCACAACACAAATATGTTTCACAAGCACGAAATGCCATTTAAACTAGTTTTAAAAACAATAATGCTTTTGAGGATGATTCCCTATTTTGCTGTGTTTCATTAAATTCATCACTACACATGGACACTCATTAACTGCAGAGCTATCCTTGTTTGGGCAAAACCTGACTAGAAACAAGCAAATGTGGGAACAGAGTTTTGCAGTGAAACTAAAACTTCAATGCCTTTGACATAATTAAATAAGTGCTAAGATAATTTCACTAAAGATCCAGCTAATGTTTTTCAATATAATTTTGCACTTGATAGATCACAACATACCTCTTGCACAAGACGATTTATTTTCAGTTGTTTTTCTTTCTCCAACATTCCTTCTTTCTCTTTGGCAAGTTTTTGCTCAAACTCCATTTCCTTTTTATTCTTCTTCTGTTCACAAAAGCTATCACTTTTTGATTTCTTTCGTTCTTTCCCTTTCTGGGAAGTTTTTTTACAAAAATCGTTTACTAAAACCACCACAAACTTCACGCTTGGTACATGAGTGCCTGCCTTGAAAATTTAATTACAGTCGATGCAAGTATGGGGATGGTCTTTTAAAAGAAAATCTACAGTCCATTTTCCTAGCAACTTGCAGGAAATTAAACTTTTTTTGGAGGGCCTCTGCCCATTAACATAAGTTGGATGAGATCAGACAATTCGACTTTTTTTCTCCTCTGCAAGTTAAAACTTTAGGGCACACAGGCCAATCACAAAACTTTGAATAAATCAAACAGTTTTGGTTGGGTCTTGATTTGCAATCTCTGTTTTGGTATTTATATATATATATATATATATATATATATATATGTATATATATATGTAAATGACTAATTGTTTTCAGGTGACAGACGCTCATGTATAGGTTGATAGTCTATGCATAAAACAGGTTCATGCACATGTCCTCAAACCAGCGCTGCATCCCTTAATAAAACTGAAACAAAGAATTATAAAGGAAAGACTTAGATCAGTTCAGAAACTGAATTGTTTCCAAGGAAGAATACTGCATCACAAAGACCATGTAGCTCCTACAAGCACTGGATAAAATCTACCCAGATGAGTTAACTAATATAGCACAAAGCAACTCCAAAATTCTAGATGTAGGGTGCAACCAAAGGGAAAAGGTGCATAGTCTTTTTGAAGCCTCTGTTCCTGTTGATATTATTCACTAAAAAATCAGAAAATACATTTAGTACCATCTACTAAATGTAATATCAGGCAGATCAACCTGCTAGGTACCAATGTTTGAAAAATTACTGAACTCAAAGGCACACTAAGCAGTACACATGCCAAAGTCTTCCAGAAGATGAACATATATCAGATAATCTTAGCTGTCTACACTGCATTCAGATACAGCAGAATGATTCATCCTTTCCACCAATTTTCCCCATGGATTCAGTTTACTTCCTATTATAGATATTTTTAGTACAGAGTGAAATTTTGGTTTTAAAACAAAACAACAAAAAAATAATTAGCAATTTGGAGTAGGATGAAAATTCATCACTGCCAGATTTAAAAATATTTCTAAAAGCAAAAGATTAAAAATACATCTTCTGAAGTTTCTAGTGCACACTGTGTGTCAGAGTTCAACAGTAATTGTGTAAGATCTTCATTACTATATGAAAAGGAATTTGTACATTCTGTAAGCTGTATTTGCAGCAACAATACAAAAGACCGCCTGTTTGTGCTAAGAGACTGAGTTTTCATAACATGCATCTAGACTTTTCAGACAGAAATCCTGACTGCACTGGCTTTCACACAGGTTACAGATCCATGGTGATTTACAGTTGCTAGCAATAAAAAATGGCATTGGAGTGTACCACCTTTTCCTATTCTTTATTAAGGAGAACAGGCATATCCTGGCAACACAGAAGGTTAAAGTAGTAGTCCTGAATGGTGACACAAGTACTTCATCTGCCAGAAAAGATCCTCAGAAACCTTGAGTTCTCAGAACTAGGCACAAGAAATCTTTGTTTCAATTCTAGCACAGTTAATTACCAAAAAAACCCACACCAAAGCACACAGCACCACAGCAAACCCCCATAACATGGTTAAGACACATTGAAAGAAATAAAGAGAATAAAGCAACAGCAAGAACAAATTTGAAACTCTGATAAAGTGAAATTGCAATACTTCAGCAGCATCTCTAGAGACAGAAAACTTTTCTATCACTGTAAAGATTGCTGCAGTTTTTTTGCTCACTCTGTGAGATGCCCATGCCTAACAGCCTTTTGCCTTCAGCACTTCTCCTACGGGGAAATTTGCAAAGGTGTAACTGGGAACTGAGTATTTCATTCCCACTCAATTTTTTTTTCCTGTACTGTTTGGAGTTTTCATATGCATGATTTTGAGGTCTTTTGGAGAACACAAAGACATGCACTGCGTACCTGTAGTGAACACCTGCAAAGTATTGACATAGAATTCCCTCTGCAACTGGTAGAACTCAAAAGTCCAAAGTACTCAAAAGGACAAACTCCTAGACATGTGCAATTCAAATGCATTTTAATTTGTGCACATGTTAAAAGAAGAAGCATTTGACTATAAAGAATGCTTAGTAATAACAGAGAAGAAGAAAAATGGGGAATTCAAATTCAAACACACAGCAAACACATTTACATATCACACTTTGTACCTTACGGATGGTGGGAAATTTTCCTTCATACCGATAAAACCATCCAAAAGCTAAAAAAGGTAAAGGAGAAGTCATTTTTTTGAAGAAAAGTCAAGGACTGGTTCATATGCAGATCAATCCGTGCTGACACATGTAACATCAAAATTTATTTGAAGGCGAAACACCAAAGGATTGCTATTACATAACAAGTTCTTAGTCAATTTGTTGTTAAATTGTGCCGGTACATTTAGTTATGTTTCCCTTATTTTAATGACACGCATTTTATGTTAAACAAAGCAAATGCAACAAGTAAACTTCATACAGAACCACACAGGCAATGCACTGTTAAGATTTCCATGGTCACAGTCCTACTTTACAGTAGTTTTAATAAACCCTCTTAAAATGAAACAGGTATTCAAACTCCTTCAAGCCTGTGGCAGGACACTGGTGTTTGAGGAGACAACTGTTTTGTCCATTTCCTAGGACAAAATATTTCAAGCCAAGAGCATAAATAATACAAAACATATTGCTAATTAAAAACATACAAAATAATCTCTTACCATAATTTTATATATGAAACACTGATAACACACAGAGTTTGCAATATAACCCATGTTTCTGTAGGACTATTAGATTTAATATCACGGTATCTTTAGAAAGCAATGACAGCAGCAGCGTCAAAACCTTTAATCTTTCACCAAAGGAATTTTACCCTAGGAAAACCAAATGGTCAGTTCAGTGTCAAGACTGACTGTCAGGAGGAAGTGAGACACAGGAAGAATTTGAATCAGGATAGGATGTTAAGGCTGAGTGGCAAACCTGTTTGTCCTGCTTCATGATCACTTCATCCATGTCATCTGTTTCAAGCTGGTCATGTGCAACTCCCTCTAAATCTACTAGAGAAACAAAGGAGGAAAGGAGTGAGGAGACAGAAGTGACAGTCTAACTGGAAATTCCCATGAAATGAAAAGAGATCAGCAATGTGTGATTAGAAGTTTCCACAAAATAAAAAAAATAGTAGCTAGTAACAGGATAGTTTTCTACATAATTGAGGAGAGGAAAAAAAAGTAAGGTCCTGCTTGAATCAAATCAATTTCCAACCTCCTCCAACCCTGAAGAGCAGTTAAAATCTGCATGTGGATCATTAGTCTGCTCTGTGATGAAGGTGGGTGCAGAGGTAGGCGGCTTTTCCTGTAACCAAACCATCAGCAGTTCTGGGATATGCGCCTTCAAAAAGAAATATCGGCCTTCTACTGCACTGTCACTGGGGCGAATGCTACACAGAGAAAATATTGTACTGAAGAGTCAGAAAACTAAATGGGTAGGAGATGGTTGCAGAAGAAACAATTCCCTATCTCAGTTTCTCTTTCATGAAGAGTTAAGTGACTTCGCCAAAGTCATACACAAAATAATATAATAACGATAGGAATAGGCCCAGTTCTCCTGTAAAGTATGCAACGAGCAATTTGCAGCTGTTTTTTTTTTACAATACAATTTTAGCACGCTCTCCACATACTCGTTGTACATTCCCATGTAGCTTCTTAACTGTCAACTATGCTCTGCCTTAAATTCCTTCAGACAAATAAGTCCGACACACTTCAGGGCAATTCTTCATGGAAAACTGCAGTGTACAAACAGAACCTCCTCAGTCTCTCAACTAATTCTGAAGCAGAGTGCCCAGTGATATCAAATCCATTTTCAGGTTCACACGCTGGAGGAAAGGGATGCCATCCAGAGAGACTTTGACAGGCTTGAGAAGTGGGCCTGCATGAACCTCATGAAGTTCAATAAGGCCAAGTGCAAGGTCCTGCATGTGGGTTGAGGTAATGCAAGCACAAATACAGACTGGGAGGAGAAAGGACTGAGAGTATCCCTGAGAAGAACTCAGGGGTGCTAGTGGATGAGAAGCTCAATATGACCTGGCCAAGTGAGCTCACAACCCAGGAAACCAATCCTATCCTGGGCTGCATCCAAAGCAGTGTGGCCAGCAGGTTGAGGGAAGTGATTCTCCCCCTCTACTCCACTCTTGTGAAACCCTACCTGGAGTGCTGCATCCAACTTTGGGGTCCCCAACATAAGAAGGATGTGAACCTGCTGGAGCAGGTCCAGAGGAGGGGCCACAAAGATGATCAGAGGGCTGAAGCACATCTCCTATGAGGAAAGGTCGAGAGAGTTGGGCTTGTTCAGCCTGGAAAAGGGTAGACCTGGGTAGACCTTAGAGCAGCCTTCTAGTACCTAAAAGGGGCTACCAGAAAGCTGAAAAGGGACTTTCTAAAAGGGCATGTGGTGACAGGACAAGGGGGAAGGGTTTTAAACTATAAGAGGATAAATTTAGAGTAGAGATTAAGAAGAAATTTTTTTACTGTGAGGGTGGTAAGACACTGGAACAGGTTGCCCAGAGAAGTTGTGGATGCCCATCCCTGGAATGAATGTTCAAGGCCAGGTTGGACTGGTCTCTGAGCAACCTGGTGTAGTGGAAGGTGCCCCAATCCATGGCAGGGGAGTTGGAACTGGATGACATTTAAGATCCCTTCTAACCCAAATTGTGAAAAGGTTGACAAGCAAAACACTGAACAAAAAACCCATGGAAAACAATGCACCAAAACCCCAAGCTAAAAAGGTTTATACTTCAACACAATTTCTTCATAAGTTTTCTTCTTTTTAATTTTTGCCTTATGCTGCTGATGGTTAACAACCATGACTATTAGAGTGGATGTAAATTTTGCAAGACAGGTACCTGTTAAATAAGAGTTGTTAAATTAATTTACTGTGTGTTTCCAGCCTTCTGAAAATAACGAAGCCACAGAATCCTAGAATATTCTGAGTTGGAAGGAACTCACAAGGATCACCAAGTCCAGTTCTTCAGTGAATGGCCTGTACACAGATTGAACCCACTACCTTGGTATTATTAGCACCATGCTCTAACCAACTTGGCTTGGACACAAACTGGTGATATAGTCCATACACCTCAGTGATGTGTCTGAAACAAATACAAGGAGGTAAGCTGAAATCAATTACTTACTTTTGTGTTTGGAACGTGGGACAGAATGCACTTCTGCAGTTACAGTTTTTAAAGACTTGGGTGGTTCTTTAGGACCCCAGTCTTCTTCCCACTCCTTTTTAAATTTCTCCTCCTCTGCTGTTATCCTAGAGGAAAAAAATGCAGCTAGGAATTCCAAGTATCAAAACAACAAAATCAATATATACAGTACAATTATTTGTGTTTACTATGTTTGGTTTTTCTTTTAATATAAAGCATAATAAACTCTTCCTTCTCCCAAAGTAAATTCCTTTCATCATTCTTTTTCATTTACTAAGCTACTAAGACAATTTGCAAAATACAGCTATAACTAAGTATTTTATATTGAGACTTTTAAGGCCAATTCTATAAACACCTGCACAGATACCAAGCCCAGAGTGATACACTACAGTACTGACTGTCCCCTTGACTGAAGTAAAAAATATCTCTCAGCTAGTAATTTTTCATTTTTAGAACTGGAAGTACCTATTAGAAAAACAGTCAGTTTTAACTATAACACTGGATGACAGAACGTCTACCACATGCCTAAATCAGACATTACAACGGTGAATTATACCTAAAAAGTACGTATCTTCCTTCTATATCTTAGATCCATTTTGATGATTGCTTCCCAAACACATAGTTCTATGTTGCACTAAAAAGTGACCCTTCCCAGAAAGAACTAAATACTGTTGAAACACAAACCACGTTAGAGTTCAGGATTCTAGGAAAAAAATGAAAAAAAAAAAAAAAGAAATAAAAAAAGAGAAGAGAGGGGAATGGAGGGGTAGAGAGAGAGGGCAGAGGGGCAGAGAGAGTGTCACACTTCAGGACAAAGGAGCTTGCAGAACAACTAAATTACCTAGAAGGCACCTAGAATGGCACCATGATCTAAAAAAAAGGACATTTCAAAGGAAAACTCAGTCAATACCAAGTAGGTCACAACAGAAGTGTCATATAACCTAACAGCTTGTAGCTTCATATAAGGGGCCTTAAGTGATGCAAGATCTATTTTTGACTATAGCTGGTCTTGAACTGGTAAGCTGATATATGGTGCCAAAATTTACCAGGTCTTAGATATATATGATGCTATTTATACTTGGATTATCTTTTGAATTTCTAAATTAGCTAAATAAATTGAAAAAAATATTCACATGGGGTCAAAGAAGTCTTAAATCTGTAGCTGAGTTCAGTATTTAAATTTAGAGGAATAGTCAATAGCAGGGAACAATGGACAGAATGTTTTCCATTTCATTTAAATTTTACAAAATGGGGTTACATTGAAGTACACAGGGTTAGGGACTTCTGCCATTGAAGCACATTTGAAATTTTTTCCAAAAATGCATGCAAGACATCAAAAAACAGCACAGTAGTGACTTTATACAAGGAATTACTGCAGAAAGGATTTCTAAAAGATACCAAGCGGTGATCCTCACAAACCATTAATACAGGAAAGCATTGTGTTCTAGTGTAACTGCCTGTCACAACTGCTTATTAAATCTAAGCTTTAGATTTCATCTAAGTTCCTCTACTACCATTCTGCCTCCTCCTCACCAAGGAGATTGACACTGATTTAACATTTTGGTTTGTAATATGGAAAAGTTTTACAGTGCCTGAGCAGCACTTGAAAATTATACAAGGAAGTATAAAGTCATACTAGACGTTACAATGAGAAGGCCTCAAGGCATGAAAGCCCCCTATAGTGAGTAAAGATGCACTTAGTTCAGAAGAGCACTGCAGATATGCAACATTCATTATAACAGACAGGCAATCCGGATTTGGAGAGCAGAGTCATTCGTCATCTGTGATGGTCTGCTTTTATAGCAGCATTTGGCTTTTGCAGGGATTTCTATTATAGACCATAATAAAGAACAGGATTATCAGTTCCCCAGGAATTAGAAAAGGGAAAGGCATAAGAATTCATCCATGTGCTGCAGCAGAGCCCAAGGCCAGACTGTCAGAAAATTTTTCTCTTGTGACAGCTGGGAAATATATTCCTTTTTGCACCTTACAGATTCAGATCAAAAGAGATACTGTGTAACTTACTCTTCTTTCATGTAATTTCCCAATATTTAGAAGGGAAATTAAGTACTGTGAAAACAACAATATGTAATACTGGTTAATTTCAAACTTCCAAATGTAAAACAATGCTTAAGTTACAAATATAGTACCGACTATATTATGATACAATCTTTGAATGTGTCTTGTTCTAGAATCATAGTTTTTTAAAACCAGAATAGACTGTGAGCCTTTCCCAAAGGTGAAGCCTAGTCATGATGATGAGACTATGATAATAAAAATCAGATTTCCTGAATAAAATAGGTTACAGAACTGCCTGCTTTTGGTGCCACTGTTTTAATTAATTCTCACCTTAGAAAAGCAAAAGCCTAGTTAAAATTTATGATGACTGAAATTTCCACTCAAGTCAGTTAGCAGCACATAGTCTTTATTTTACAGAATCACAGAATATGCCAAGTTGGAAGGGACGCACACGGATCACTGGCTATGCACAGGACCATCTCCAAGAGTCACACCACGTGCCTGAGAGTATTGTCCAAACACTTCTTGAACTCTGTCAGGCTTGGTACTGTGATCACTTCCCTGGGGATCCTGTTCCAGTACCCAACCAAACTCTGGGTGAAGAACTTTTTTCTAATACCTAACATAAACCTCCCCTGTCTAACTCTACATAGCTTTTGTTGTCAGAACTGACTGACAGTCTGAAAAGATTATTAAACTCTGTTTTACAAATCATGAACAAACTACCTGTGTTTTGTTTTTTTAAAA